ATGAATACATATCTTTTTTTCTAAACACAACATTCTTATACGTTGTTTAAATATGATTTTCAATAGAATGTAATATACAGGATGTTCGGCTACTCGTGTCACAAACTTTGCCGGTAGATTCTACATTCAAAATGGAACCAAAAAGTCCTAATTAACTATGGTCCGAATCTCAGCAGTTTCGTTTTTTTTTCACTTTTTTTGTTTATTTTTAAAATTTCACGATCTTGCTTCAAATAAACAAAGATAACTCCAAAACTGAAAAGTTTTGGACAAATCCGTTGATCCCATTGAAAACTACGTTAAAATTCCAATAAGGTGGGGTCAATACTAAACTTATAAACCTTCGTGAACTGTTTTAGTAGCGACAACTTTAAAATAATTTTTTTCAAAGGTGAAAAACTTACTATGATGATTCTACACTACTATTTCCAAACCTCAAGACCAACAAATTTCACAAACGTACTCCATTTAAAATCCATTTTATTGGTGTCATTTTTTTAAATTACTTTTTTCAAAGATGAAGAAATTGATGGAGGAAAAAAAACCGTGGCTGACAGATTGGTAAGGTGGAAAAGTAAAAAAAGCTTAAGCAAATTTGGAATGAATTGATTAAACTTTTTTTTTAATTTGGGTTCGAAACCGAAATAGTGCAAGTGTTTAATTATTTACCAACATGACTGCATCTTTGATTAAAGGATTATTGTATTATTATTCTCCGGAATAAAAGAGTTTTTAGATTCAAAACGATCGAATTTCGAATCAAAATGAAAAAACGTTTAATAAATTTATTCAAAATTTCCTTAAGTTTTTTATTTTTTTATTTTCCACCTTACCAACCTGTCAGCCACGATTTTTTCCTTTCCTCCATCAATTTCTTAATTTTTGAAAAAATTAATTAAAAAAGAAGTTACTCCACTAAAATGGATTTTAAATGGAGTACGTTTTCTGAAATTTTCTGGTCTCTAGGTTTGGAAATAGTAGTTTAGAATCACCATAGTAAATTTTTCAACGTAAAAAAAAAATATTTTACAAAGTTCTCGCTACTAAAACGCTTATTTCACGAAGGTTTACAAGTTGAGTATTAATCACATCTTATTGGAAATTTAACGTAGTTTTCAATGGTATCGACGTATTTGTCCAAAACCTTTTAGTTTTGGTGTTATCATTGTTTATTTGAAGCAAGGTCGTGAAATCTTAAAAAATCAGAAAAAGTGAAATAACTCCGAAACTGTTCAGATTCTGACCATAGTTAATTGAGGCTTTTTGGTTCCTTTTTGAATGTAGAATCTACTGGGAAAGTTTGTAACATAAGTAGCCGAACACCCTGTGTAGTACTGCCAGGATATAAATTACTTTTCCTTCGCTGTCATGATTCGTGTAAAAACGAACATATTTTTTTGCAACTCAGAATTTTAATTTACAAACTCCATGACGTGGCTGTTGTATAAGGGTGAATGAAAAAATAATTATGACCTTTTTATTTTTGCGATGTTTATTGTATTTGTTTATAAATCAGCTTTGGATACGACCAGTTTTATATCAGCAAGACAGCCCGACTGTACTCATACAAAGCAAACATTTTATGTGGATAACTGCACCCACCATTTAGCCCTGACCTTTTTCACTCCCCTTTTGAACAGTGGTCAAATTTGAAAAATGTTACATGAATTTGTCGAGCTCTAGAAGCAAAGAAAAATTCCACTATTTTATTACCGTAATAACAAAAAATTTCAATATTGTCTAATTTCATCACTAATAGAATCACACACTTGGATGTTTAAGGGTTTTGGAGAAGACTATATTTTGTTGAATAAGAGAAAACAAGAGCCTTGCCATGTAGCAACATGAAAAGAAAAAAAAACTTTTTCTGTAATGGATGGAGTTCAGCTTCTACTGTACCTACCATATAATTTTATTTCCAAAGCTACCAGATTTTAAAATGTAAAACGAGGAAAAGAATTTTTATTAGAGGTAAAATGTATAAAAGGAAGGAGAGTAGTAATTTATAAAATATATTATTAAATTTCTCAATGTGGTCTGCAGGATGATGAACCTGTAACCTGAAATTTGATCATTACCAATATTGACCGACTCTGCTGCTGGAACTATGATGTAAACAACAAGTAAAGTTCAGTGAATCCATGACATAAAAATCGTCTCTATCTGGTGATGGTAGTCATTATGGGCACCACAGTTATTATAACTTTGATGTTATATGACACACATTAAATCCTCAGCAGTAAAGACGAAAGCCATGCAAAGCCACATGTTGGCCCTTGGATGTTGTGATTTTAGACAATACCTTGTAATATCTAATGACATAAAAAGAAAAACACTTTCTGAAATGGATGGATTCCAGCTTCTACTCTACCACCATTTAAAGCAGAACAATTTTCCATAATAAAAGTTACAGATTTTAAAATTAATGAAATACGTTATAATTAATTAAGGTTTTTAGTTGAGATGAAAAAAAGCTAATGGCACGAGCAGGATTCGAACCCACAATCTTCGGCTAGATACGCCACTGCTCTACCACTTGAGCTATCGTGACCTCTATCCACTCGGACATCAACTTCCTATCTCAACCCCACCTTATGAGTTTTCCGTCCTTTTTGCCATTTTTCAAATGTCGTGTAATCGGTTTGGATTCTCGATGACAAATGAAATGGCCACGGAGAGCTTTAGTGAAGTGTATTTCATTTTTAATCATTAAATTCACTAATTTCGTGATCCGCTTGACCAATTAATACATTACAATTAATTAAGGTTTTTAGTTGAGATGAAAAAATGGCAAAAGGAGGGAAAACTCATAAGGTGGGGTTGAGATAGGAAGTTGATGTCCGAGTGGATTGAGGTCACGATAGCTCAAGTGGTAGAGCAGCGGCATATCTAGCCGAAGGTCGTGGGTTCAAATCCCTCTCGTGCCATTAGCTTTTTTTCATCTCAACTAAAAACCTTAATTAATTGTAAAGCCTATACATTGTTGAATAAGAGAAAACAAGATGATGCCTTGCCATGTAGCAACACGAAAAAAAAAAAAAAAAAAACTTTCTGTAATGGATGGATTCCAGCTTCTACTGTACCTACCATATAATTTTATTTCCAAAGCTGCCAGATTTTAAAATGTAAAAAGAAGAAAAGAATTTTTATTAGAGATAAAATATATAAAAGGAAGGAGGATAGTGATTTAAAAAATATATTGTTAGATTTCTCAATATGGTCTGTAGGATGATGAACCTGTAACCTGAAATTTGATAATTACCAATATTGACCGACTTTGCTGCTGGAACCATGATGAAAACCAACGAATAAATTTACTAATTTCAAGGTCCACTTGACCAATTAATATATTACAATTAATTAAGGTTTTTCGTTGAGATAAAAAAGGAAAATGGAAAATTTGAAAAATGGCAAAAAGGAGGTAAAATTCAAAAGGTGGTGTTGAGATGGGAAGTTAGTTTCTGAGTGAATGAAGGTCACGATAGCTCAAGTGGTAGAGCAGCGGCGTATCTAGCCAAAGATCGTGGGTTCAAATCCTGCTCGTGCCATTGACTTTTTTATCTCAACTAAAAACCTTAATCAACGAATAAAGTTCAGTAAATCCATGGTGTAAAAATCATACAAATCTCTATCTGGCGATGGTTATCATTATGGGTGTCACAGTTATTACAACTTTGATGTTATATGACACACGTTAAATCCCCCCGTGGATGTTGTGATTTTAGACAATACCTTGCAATATCTAATGACATAAAAAGAAAAACACTTTCTGAAATGGATGGATTCCAGCTTCTATTCTCCCACCATTTAAAGCAGAACAATTTTCCATAATAAAAGTTCCAAATTTGAAAATTAATGAAATAATAGAGATTATTGTCAGATTTTTCTATGTGTTCTGCGAGGTGATGAAGCTGTCATTTGGTCATTATATTGGCCAACTGCAACACTGCTGCACAACACCGTTGGATGTTGGGATTTTGGATAGACCAAATTACTAAGTAACAACCAAATTCCAGATAAAATATACAGAAACTTATGTGTTAATACCCAATTTTTTCACCCAATAGGTCAAAAGCTAAATTTTTATTTATCACCGCACTAATGTTCTCAATTATACAACTTTCAATCATTATTTGCATTTTACAACAATACATTATAAAAATATAATTACCATGTGCAAGTCGGTAAACACCTGAGCCGTCCATACCCAACGGTGAGAACTGGCCTTTGTACTTGCTGCCAGTATGATACACCTTGACATCATCGACAAGAGTGGACTTATGCGTCGAGAGTAGACGGAGATACCTGCTGTACGTGGTCTCGCCTGCCTTTCGCCTCATTTCACAAATGTACGCGCCCACTGCCCAGGGCAAAATTTACAAACAAATAGACAAATTTAAATTAATCTTGCGCTTACTGTTTTTAAGGACCTTGGTGACAAACTTGTTCTCAGCTTTAATCCTCTTTGCCCGCTTTTGTTCATGTTCCTCAGCTATAAATATTTTTTGGCTTGAATTGATATGATTAACAATTATTGAAGAGAACAAGAAATAAAATTTATTTGATAAACGTTAGTTGTTTTTTTTTAAATCTCAGATATTACAGATATTACTGTAATTTTTTTATGAGTGTGTTATAGTACTTGTGACACAAAGTACTATAACTTACAACATAACTCTATTAAATAGATATTTTTTTCCATTAATATACCTATTTATAACTGAAATATATATAAAAATAGTTAAATAATCACTTTTCATTACATGAAATTTGTTGAATTAAATTAAATTGCACTGTTATGTTTTAAAAAGTACATCAAATGTTACCTGCTCTGGCCAGTAAATCAAATTGCCTTTTTCTATAAGCAGATTCAAGATCTTCTTCCTTTGATGATTCTTGTTGACCAAATTCACGCTTTCTTTTAGACTCTGCCAACCATTTGAAGATCATGTCTCTCTTTATTTGTTTCTGTTCTAACACTGTAAGTTTCTCAGGCTTGAAGGGCTCAGTTTGTATCATCTCCCAATCCTAAGACACATAGAAATCTATATGTGAAATTTGAATTGCTCATCCCGACAAGACGACTTAAGACAGGAAATCGGAAATTTGAATACTTTTACAACAGTCCCTTCTAAGGAATCTTTCAAGCTATGGGGCAGACCTAGTTTGTTTTTTTTCCGCCGTTCTATCTCGTCCAATGGTACTTTTTTCTGTTTTTTCCTGATCCATTGAATCTTGTTATCATCTGAAGCGAACAAAAATTAACAGTCGGCATTTGCACAGGTTCTCGTCTTACAGATTGCATCTGTGTTCATCCATTTCTTCCGTTCGATTTCAAGCCAAGCTAGCCTCTTCCTTCTAGACTTGCCGATTAACTTGTACACCCTTTTCCCTCTTCTAAACTTTTTCCAATCTTTGTTTATCAAAGGATAATCTCTCATTTTTTATGGTTTATTATTTTGTCTAGGCTCAAAGAAAACAATTTTGTTAGAATATTGTTATAACAATTTTACAGATGTTTTATACACAACCTTGATGAAAATTGATTAAAAATTTATATAAATATTCACATCAGTGCCTTATATCTGTCAAATTGATTATTTTTCATGAAGTCCATTTTAGTTTATCAGCTACATGCTTGCAATCATGAATGCACTAGTCAAGTCACACATTTGAAAAGAAAAGAGTTACTTTAAACAGGGATGAAACAAAGTTTTAGTTTGGCAAATATTTATAATAAAAATTATAAAATTTTTATTTGTTATATTTTGTGGCTTGAATTGATATGAATAACAATTCATAAAGAGAGAGAACAATTTTGATTAAAAAAGATGGACTTCTACTTATTAGAGTTTTATGGTGGTGAAACTTACAATTAATTTTAAACTTTAACTAATGAAATTTTTAGTTTTGTCTTATCTGATCATTCTGACACTAAAGCTTTAGATTCCGCAGGAAAAAAAACAACTCAATTTACTGGAACATTTACCTTTGTTGGTTTAGAGGATCAGATGCGTTTTGGTATTGTGTTATCTTCAGTAGTATTTGAGTGATTTCTGTGGAGTAACACACAAAAATCAGCGTTTAGTTGCTGATAATGGGCCAGGAGCCCGAAACGTCCATGTAATTTACTAAATTGAATAAATGTTTTCAACCACGGAGATCTTGGAATTTTTCAACCTATCAATAGAGAGGAGAGGCAGACCAAGAAGATAGGTAATTATCATAGGTTTATCACCTTGCAGACCACAAGCGGAATCTCACAATTTAATGTAAAACGGTTCAAATTTATCTAATTTTAAATAGAAATGTAAAGTTTTATCGTTAAATTTTATTATTAAAAATTTACAAGATTCTAGAGATTCACTTTTAATTTTTTCAAAGTTAAATATCAAAATGGTTTATTGTAAACAGCTTTGTGCTCAAATAACAGAGATATAAAGAAAATCCAAAGCTGGATTTGTTCCAAATGCTAAAAACTGTTCCTGAACTCTTCCTAAATAAGTCCTAATGTATCCTACCTTTATTAAGGCAGGGAATTAATAAATAAATAATAATAAATTGGATGTTTCTGCCTAGGATCTATCTTGTAACATCAAAAATACACAAAAAAATATAAACAGATTGGCTATAATTTTGTACCAGAGTTTGCTGGTTAATTCTAAAATCATTTATAGCATATGTAAAAACATCAATGATTAGACTGATTTCCTATGTGACCTTAAAGAAGCAAGTCAATTACAAAACTTCTAAGATTGAACCGTTTAATATTGGAGGCCGATGGTAATTTTTCATTACTAAATTAGGTTTAGTGTACAATAAATATTTGGTTCAATTAGAGTAAAATGGGGAAAGGAAATGATTCACCACAGACTGACACCAACATTTATCCATTTTACCTTTAATCGGGTTGTCAAATAATTTAAAAAAAACTTAAAAAATAAATATTAATTGTGTGAAACTATACTTTTATTGTATTTCAAATATGTACAAAAATAAATATCACTGTAATGTAGAAAGTATATTTTGAATGGCTTTCCAAACCCTTTTCAACCAGAGCCATTATGTTAATGAATTGAAACCACAACAAAAAATAACATTTTTAAAGATCTGAAGAAGAGGCACATCAGAGAACACCATTTGCCACATTTTAATTTTTCCCAACAGGAATCACTGGCCTTTTGGCCGTATATGCCAATTTAGCTTCTTTCAGGTATTTCTCAAAATTTTGGGTGACACTATCAGCGGTTTCTTCCCATCTAAAAAAGTATTTAAATTTAGCTTTTGATTTATAATTGTGTTGAATACTCTGTACTTTTTAGCAAGTTTCCGATATCGATCTACTTGGATTTTTTGCTCCTTACAGTCAGGACATGGCATCTGGCGCCTTCTAGAAAATAAAAATGGAATACACAAGCTTAAATAATGTTAATTTATTGCATTGTTATGTATTAAAAATAATAATAAATTAACTGGAGGCATCCACTCTATACGACAAATAGTGTTGGATTAACATTCCAAATCAGTATAATTTATGACAAATGATCAAGATCTTTTATATGTAATATTTTTTAAACCATTGTTGGTACTCAGTAAAATTATTATTCAATTCTGATTTTGAATTTGCAGAAAGACACACAAGGGATTCAAGGGGCACATGAGAAAAAATCTTGTAAAGGCAAGGCAAACAATGAAAACTGCATATCAGATCAATCACCTAATAACGTTAAAAGGAGGTAGGTTTTGCCTCTGTGTTGAAAATAAATCCGAATGCTCCCATCACTTCGTTGTGCCAGACTAACCTGAGTTGTGCAAGTAATGACTCCGTTTCTCCCTGCAGGGCCGCAACCTGACGTCTCAGTGAATCCCTTTCATCATGCCACTGTACCAAATCTGACTGTCTTCTATAACGAAAATAAATATTAAATTAATTGCATGAGAATTCTTTAAAATATTCTAGTATTTAATATATTTCCTAATACATGTTTATAATGAATTTAAAGAAAAATTACAATATTCTGGTTGAGATTACACGGAAATAGAAAAAACAAATTAATTCATAATTATATTTCTGAGGGAGTAAAGCAAATTTTAATTCTCACTCACTGGCAATTAAAATTTGCTTTACTACTTGTTTTTTAATGAACTGATTAGCAGATTTTGTTTTGGCAATAAAGCAAATTTAAATTACCAATGGTTGGTTAATGCCAATACTTCCTCTTGACATGGGACATTTTATCTTGACACGGACAACATTTTACTCAACTAACACCTATTACGGAGATCATTTTTTCTCTTAGGTTGATACCTATAAAAACTTTTTCTTATTTTTGTTATAATAATATATAAAACTGGGTTTTTTAGATTTCAACGTACTTTGCTCGCAGTTCTTCTAATTCATGGTGAAGTGCTTTTGTCTTGTCCATCGTTTGATTTTGACGAACTCTGTATTCAGATTTAACCGATTCATTCTCAAGTGCAACCCTGTTTTTCTCCTTGGAATATAAAAAACACAATTTCTGTCATTTCAGAAAACACTTAAAAATACTGATAATAAACGTACAATAGTTAAGGTATGCAATTGTGTTTGCAACTCGTTCACTTTGTCTTCCATTTCTTTTCTTGTCTTTTCCACTTCTTTTGCGAGCTTCTGCTCTGCAGCAGTCAATATTTCAGCCATTGCATCTTCCAACCTAGCTTTTTCTTCTTCTCCGAATTGAAATAACAAGAAAATTTATAACATTTTAACACACTTTTATGTTTTGTCAAAACAATACCGGTAATACTGGCTTCATTGGCAAGAGCATCTTGAGCCATAGCAAGGGCATCAGTGACTTTGTCTCGAGCCTGTACGCTGACTTTTTCTGCCTGATAAAGGAGCTCTTTTGTCTGGTCCAGAGACTCTTTCAGCTCGTTTCTTTCCTTGATGACACTTTCCATTTCAGAAGTACTTCTTGCAACGCTGTTCTTTAGCTCCTGGAGAATAAAAAAAATAGAAGGAGTGAAAATAACACGAAATAAAGGTCAAAACAAACCATATAATCACGCTTGACATCATGCAGTTCGGCTTCCAACAGTTCATTCTTAGTTGTTGCCTTTCCCAGCTCTGATTCCAAGAGTTCGACCTTTCTTTCCATAAGTTTGATTGCTTCAGAATAGTCTTTCTGCATCTGGAACCCAGCTGATTTTATCAGAGAACAGAGCTTTGCAACAAGGTAATTTCAACTACTCACTTCATCCATACGGAAAGCCAGCTTCTCTGCTTCTGATGCCCATTTCACTGCCTCCTCCCTTTTGGCATCGGCTGCTTCCTTAGCAAGGTTCCACATTTCAACTGCACAATCTCTCTCCTGAATGAAACACAAAACCGAAAGAAAATTAGAATTGATAAAAACAACCGTTACACTTAATTAATTAAGCAGATATTACCGCTTTTACTCTCATTTTAATAAAATTAAATGTAAAAAGAAAACAGACTGGAAGAATTAAACCCCTAGTTACCTAGATACAATTCCAAACTGTCACGCTTCAGAACACAATATTGATTTTTGTACCAGCACAGAAAATATGTGAAGAATGATAACAAATGACAGTAAAACTAAAATATATATTATTAAATATAAATAAAATAGAAATTATTTTACACATAGACTTGAGTGATGAACAAAAGGCCGATTTGCGATACGGTGGATAGGAATTTAAAAAGGAATTTTCAGTGGATTAATTGAAGATTTTGAAGATCTCCAATATATTTCTTAACGCCTTTTGTTTATATTTATTGCAATAATTCTAAAAAGACATTATGAATTGTCATTAAATTGATTCTACAGCGGTTTTAAATTTTCCGCCATTTTATTCAGAAAGTACACTGGTACAACAGTAGTTGGGCGATTTTTGTACCACGTGAACTACACTTCAATAGAACTTTGAGCAACCACGTGAACGACACTTCAATAGAAATTTGAGCAACCACGTGAACTACACTTTGATAAAACTTAAAAGAACGACTGAGACAATTAAAAGTCTTTTGAAATCACGAGTTAACAATCAAATTAAAAAAAATTGAAGAATGTTAAGTGACTATTAAGCTTTCATAGTACTAACACTTTGGATAAGTAGTAAAAACAAAAAAAGAACTTAGAAAATTGACATCAAGGAAAGTGCTCAAATTTCTATTGAAGTGTAGTTCACGTGGTTGCTTAAAGTTCTATTGACGTGTATTTCACGTGGTTGCTCAAATTTCTATTGAAGTTCCCGTGGTACAAAAATCGCTCAAATATTTGTGTACTTTCTGAATAAAATGGCGGAAAACTTAAAACCGCCGTAGAATAAATTTAATGACAATTCATAATGTCTTTTTAGAATTATTGCAATAAATATAAACAAAAGGCCGATTTGCTTACGGTGGATGGAATTTAAAAAGGATTTTTCGGTGGATTAATTGATTTTGAAGATCTTCAATATATTTCTTAATTTGACTTGATATGTGATTTGATGATATGACGGAATGATTAACAGAACGATTGAAAACATTGAAACGTCTTTTGAAATCACGAGTTAGATTGAACTGAAAATTTAGGGAAAGTAGATCTTTTCGCTTAAATTTAAAAAGGCAAAACAGTTCTACATAAAAAGATCGTCAACTGGAAGATTTAAAAGCTCGTTTTTTCCTTCAAATATTGATTTTTTAAAATAATCTATGAACCGAAAACTTACTTTGGCTAGGGATTCAAGCCTCTTTTTGATTTTTTCCGAAGAAGATATGTACGTGTCGGACTTCTTCCTGTCGGAAGGATCCTCGGAGTACCTCTCGTCGTCCATTGCGGTGTCACCGTCCTTCACTCCTTTCTGGCATCCCTCGGGGTGCTTTTTGTGTGAAATTTGTACAAATGAACCGAAATGATTAACAGCTGTTTTGTGTCTGTTGTGAGGATCGAACTTCGGCGTCTCCAATGGCAACCTGAAGCCCAAACATGGTACTTTCTGCTGTGGTCCGTATGGCCAAAGCCATGCTACCCGCCGATGCCGTCTCGCCTCCACCCGCGGATCCAACACCTCACACATACTATTTTCTATTACTATTAACAATCCTATCTGGTTTGAAGGATTTACAAACTAAACCCTCATAAAACAACAACAAAAACTTAAAAAATAACAACTAAATAACAAACAAAAAATTAAAGATTCCTCCATGTGGTATTGTGTTAGGGTATTTCTAATTTTTGCCTGTAAAAGATCAGTTTCTTTATTAGTTAATTAAAACCTTAAACTTAAACTGCTCTCTCTCTTTTTTTTTAAATGTTTGCATGTATACGGCAAATATCAGCAAAAATGAAAACACGTGCATTTTAGGTCTTTCTGTCCAAAATTCAACTAGTTTTTTAGGCTCTTTCAACACACAAGTCATACCCAACCTCAGGAATACAGTAAAAAATAGTAATATTATTATATAAAAAAAGTAATATTGTATTATTCATCATCAAGAAGTGGCGAAGAAGAGTGAGGTGTAGAAAAAAAATTAAATCTAAAAGGAAGGCTGACGTGGTTACAACAGACTGTTTGAGGCCCCACACCAGCGATCACAAATGATCTGTGATATGACTGATTATTGATTTATATAAGCCTAACTGTGCACATGATACATATAGGTGCTGAGCCTATCACTTTTCACAATCAACTGGAAATTTCAGCTTTTTTAATTTACGATAAATTACTGAATCAACCAACCTGGGTGTTGGCAGTCCGGGGTTAGACGTTGGTCTTATCCTGCCAGGTTGGTTCCAAGGGCTGTCAGCAGATCATTACAGCCCCTAATGCATTCACTTTTTAGATCCACACCAACTAACACCATTCACTCAATGAGGGCGGTGGAGTACTCGATATTCCTCCATAACCCTCTACACATATTATTTAACTAATTGAGGGTCAATGGGTACATAATATTCTGTCATCAGACTTCTCACACTACACATTCAAGCTAATAAATGCATTCACTCTCAACACATACAAAGAAACAAGACATCTATAAAGTATTATGAATAGTAAATCAGAACAGAGGCTCCCAAACTACATATAGGGTGGCATTCCTACACGCTCTATATATGGAGCTAACGAATGGCACCCTTTGTTCAGCTAGCTTAAAAATATATATACATATAAGGCTTATGTCCATATAATTCTAGTCAGGGGCAGCCATAGGTTCATTTGGTATTTCATTAATGATGTTATTACACATATTTACTAGATGTCGTTGTTGTGAGCACAACTCATTTTCATAAATAATAAAGTTATCTTGTTTATAATATATATACAGGGTGAATTGCTACTCGTGCTACAAACTTCTCCAGTAGATTCTTCACCCTAAAATGAACAAAAAAGTTCATATTGTCCATGGTCCGATTCTCAACCATTTCAGAGTAATTTCGCTTTTTATCGATTTTGAAAGATATCACGTCCTGGCGTCGGAAAATCGTGATATCTTTTAATCTAAACATTTCTCT